TCTCATAGTGCTGGATGCTGTTGCTTTTTGGGGGGTTTGGTTTGTTGTTTTACGCCGCACTCAGCAATACTCCAGCTATATGGCGGCGGTCTGTAAATAATCAAGTCTGGACCAGACAATCCAGTGAGAGATGTCATGAGCATCGTTCCACACAATTGGGATCGATGATATGCTTCAACCAAGTCAGCAAGTCTGACCACCCGATCCCGTTAGTCGCCTCTTACGACAAGCATAGTTGCCTCTTACGGCAAGCATGGGTTGCTGAAGACCTATTCTACCCAGGATCTTCACGGGTCAGGATGCTGTTGCTTGGCTCTTCTGGTCACACAGTGCCTGATGAGGTTTCTAATCATCTTAAAGTGCATGGAGATAGCAATGTGCTCATAAATTGTGACATACAATTATCTGCTAACAGCCAGCATATGCCTGTGATTCAGTCTGTCAGCTTATTACATTGTTTTATATTCAAAATCACCTGTACGCATTCAGACATTATGAATATTGAAAAATCGTAAGCAACAAATCGCGTCTTGATTCAGTTGAAATATTGCAAACAATTACTGGAGAATCTGTGAGGAGTTAAAATAAAACTGACTATGAAAGTAGTCTAAAAATTATCTGATAGACAGTCGGACAGGCTGAGGAATATTTCATGCATCCTGACAGAAAAGTTAACAGCCACGGGCAGGTAGGCAGGCAGTTATTTCAAACACTGGAGGTGAGGTGAAATGGGGTTTAACATCGCGTCCAAGTAAGTGAGTTGGGTTTAATGCTGCTTTTAACAGTATGGAGTTTTATCACGGTGTGTCAGGTTAATGTGGGAGGAAAGCCCAAAGTGATGCAGGTCTCAGACATTTACCACTTCGGTGAAACCCCTCAAGCATGGTGCTGACAAATCTAGAAACATAATCTGGGCGAACCAGGATTAGAACCCACAATCATAGGTTTCTGGCATGCCCAAGGGACGCAACTCTGCACAGTGAATCGCAGCGCTTTAGATGACTGGGCCGACCATGCCCCCTCAACATAAATACCCCACTCAGACAGAGTATACTGACTCCAAGCCCACCAGCCCTTGTTTTAGCACCTTAATGCTGTGTGCCAGGCAGGGTAACAACAAGTACCGGAGAGGCGGTCTGCAGAACCAAACCTTGCATGGCTTGCTTACATATGAGTAACGGTGCACACTCTTCATGATGCATGATAAAGTAGCTATACTACACACTGTTATGGACAGTCTTATATACTACTCAAAAGAAGTTAAAGAGCACCCCTTTCATTCATATAACTATAGTTAATCTGTTACAGCATGACTAACTATTGTGGTATCAAAGAATCTGTTGTTCCTTAACTTCTTTTGAGTAGTATGTGTAGGATTATGATAGACGTACAAAAAAAAATATGTTTGAGCTTGTCTAGGACCATACTTTGGGAGCAAGCCATATTCAACCTCTCCATCAATGAGAACAAACCACTCTAAACAATACACCAAACCCACGCCACTTCACTATCTTCACAAACACCAAACACTTCACATTTACTTTGACATGGTAGAATGGAGATAAACACACTGTGTTTTCTGTGAAGGGCTAGGATACCTGTAACCATGCTAAATTTAACATTTGAAACCTCACTCTGGGGGTTGGTTCCAAGTGTTAAATATAGTGCAGTAAGTCTACAGGTAACACAGCTCTGGATTGAAAACACAGCATGTCTATAGTCTTTAATTCTTCTGAAAAAATGGTAAAAAAAGCTAGCTTCAATACATTCATGACATTGTTGGTGAGTCATCTGGCAAAATCAAAACAGTGCATAATAGCCATGTGTAGACAATATTATACGGTGACATTAACAGTAGGACCAGTATTTTTGCCTTAATCATATTCTATAAGCATCCGTGATTCCTGAATCTATTTTCAGTCCTGCCATCTCAACAACTTTCCGTCATACCAGATTCACAGTGCTAGTGCACTCACAACATAACTGTGGACAGAAAAAATAAAATAATGACAACCCCAAAACAACTCCAAATAATTATTCAGAAGATTGACATGTGACAAATTATCACATATTCTAAGTATTTCTTCTTCATTTCCAAAGGTCAACAATTCTTGACATATTTAAGAACTTGAATTTCAAGATTCCACCCTTGAAAGAAGTATTCACTATGACGAGATGCGTGATGATGAAAGCCCACAGTACAACTGACATGCCCTCAAGACCAGCAGATTGTCACCAATTTGATGGGAGTTATTCTTCCCAACCTGGCAATGCCCGTCTTTGATTAAAATATTTCCTAAAGCTATCCAGCTCAAGTGTGTTACAGGAGGCTGCAGGACATGCCAGACTTTGATCTGAAGAACCAATACAGCTCCAGTCAGAAAGTCTGGCTTGCACAACAGGATGAATTATAGGCTCCGCCTGACAACAGTTCTGATACACTAGGTCCCACTGATCTGACAGGAGAGGATATTAAGCAAATGCAGGAAGTCAAACTTGAGTTAATTTAAAAAAATATACCTGATATAATTACTTGTGGAGAAAAAACAGAAAAACTTTCATACCCATAGCTACATGGAATCATGTTTCATGACGAATTTGAAGTTATAGCTCTTGTTTCATTCCCTTTACATTCTTTAGTGTTGAAACACCATGCAGTTTCAGGAAGATGATCCTAGCACTAGAGGAAACCTTGAGCTGCATACTTCAACATCTGGATCTAAGGAAGAGCTATCTAGAGCCATGGTGGAAACATTGAGCTGTACACTTCAACATATGGGTCTAAGGAAGAACTATCTACAGGCATGGTGGAAACCTTGAGCTGCAAACTTCAACATCTGGATCTAAGAGCTATCTACAGGCATGGTGGAAATCTTGAGCTGCAAACTTCAACATATGGGTCTAAGGAAGAGGTATCTACAGGCATGGTGGAAATATTGAGCTGCATACTTCAACATATTGATCTAAGGAAGAGCTATCTACAGGACAGAATACTTTAGAATACAACACTGGGTGCTGAAGACCAGAACTCCAAATGATATCAAGTACCATATTTCCTCTATTAGATGCTACATTACACGACATTACCAACTGACAAATCCCATGGTCATACAAAGGGCACATTGCAGGAAGCAGTCATTATTAACCACCAACATATCACAGTATGACAGGTCCGGCTTCTGACCCGGCGTAAAATGGAGGCTGGCATGTATTGGTTGCCCAGCGTCTAACAGAGGAATTACGGTAATCATAAACTGCTCATTAAAACTGAACATTTAACTGACTTGTCAATGGGAAGCAATATACCTTGAAACAAAAATAAATGGCTGATTCTTATGAAAGAAAATATAAAAGTAGTAACTGAATACCTCCAAATAATTAAATCTGTACATCAAAGAGCTAACAACAAAACTCTGACGATAAACATGAACACTTTCTACGGCAAATCCATTTCCATAATGTCATATCAGCAACTGCTAACATCTCTAAAAAATGCTGAATGTTTCCCAAGCTTGCAACACTGCAGTTTTTCTCTCACCAACATAGAAAAAAGTAGCTTCTCATTTTTATAATCCAGTAACTGCTGCCCAACACATTTCCCAGTTTCCCGGTTTGCCCCTGAGCTCAGGGCAGCACTATATGACCAAATGGGGCCTTCTTTCTCACAAAAAGTAGCGTGTTGGACAGAAATGATGGCTAACTAGTGTCAGCTCTGCATGCCTACAGCAAGTTTGGGGTTAAATAGGAGGAAGTCTCAAGAAGTATTGATTGGCTATGGGTATTATCATCTTACAGCTCCCACATGTTTTACTACACCAGAGAAGAAATAAATGTCATAATATTAATGTACTTCCATTTTTCACTTCATCAAACTGTTTTTGTGTCCACAAACTGCTTGTTCAAAACCTGTATATACTCCTCAAAAAGACAAATGCATGTCCGATGTTTACACACAGCGATACAAGAATCATGAATGTAATCTAATTTGGAGGTCCAAACATATCACTATTAGCCAAAAAAACAACAACAGGCAAGCAGAGACTTCAGGCAAATGGAGCTGCCACCATCTCACAATTCAGCTGAGTTAACCATCACTAAACATCGCCAATACACAGTTAAGGCAACATGTAGATCACAAATGTGGGAATTCACCCAAACTGTATGCCTTCCACAACATCTGCCTCACAGAGGTTCACAAAGATGCCCATGCCATATATCACTTAGTCAGTGCATGAAACATTACTAGTCGGAATGAATGGAACTGTCCATGGGAACAACAGGCGACTATTTTGAACACTGCATGCTGCTATATAAATAGCATTTACATTTCAAAAAATGGTCACCCTGGAATAGCTCCAATGACCTTGTGATAAAACACGCCTCCGTGGGCGTGGGCTTTTTCCTGAGCCCAAGGTTTTACATTTTCAATCAAACTTAGGGAGGCGTGTTTTATCCAATTTATGAACTGTCTAAATCCATGAAATACAAGAAAAAATATGAAAACATCGACATACATTATAGTGAATCAATACAGTGTATCGGGGAATAAAAGGAATTCGCTCAAAGCGTGTGAGAGAAAAACAACGCGCAGCATGGACTAACTGGAGTCATGACATTATAAATTTAACAACTGCTCATCCCCTGTCTTGGTCATGGAATTTTCATTTAAAAGAAAATTTGTGACATTTAACCAATCATCAAACAGAATTATGTTCACACCTAGGTTTTACAATTTAAAAAAGATTAATTGTAAAACCTAGGTATTATAATTGAAATGTAAAACCTCTAAACAGGTATGGAGGTGATCAACTTCAAAACCCAGGTTTAGAAGGGAACCGCTTCAAAACCTGGGCTTGGAAGATGAGCTGGTTATTCGGCTGACTCAAGGTTGTCAGGAACCTAATGCAATATAGGGTAACATGGTGATAGGGTTATAAAAGGCAAACCTGACTCCCCACTTTACCACCGGGTCTTCATTACGATAACAAGACAACACTTACCCCTTGTTCGGCTTCTAAAAATAGCAACAGGTCATCCGTGGACATGTAGTCTGCATTGCTTGCATACCTGAAAACAAAGCAAACTTTCACTACCACAACATCAGGTGAAATTACACGAGCGAGTCTCACATCATAAATGTCTTGAGACATTTTCACAGTTGCTCTAATAACAGGATTATAAAACAACCAGTCCTCCAGTCAGACTGTGGTTGTTTTTTTGTTGTTTAACACCACAATATTCCAATTTGCATTCATAATTTATCATTTCTTCAGAATTTACGAAAATATATGAACATCTAAAATATTACATTTTGAACACTATCACAATATTTTCCTAATTTGTCTGACAAGGCACTTTGTATGAAATCCTTGATAAATTCCTGTAGAATGTCAATACTGCCCCAAAATGACACATCTTACTCATACCTTATAAACACCAACTCACCCATCCTTCCTACAACATGATGAGTATTTCAGTGATCGAAACGGATTATCAACTAATAATTCCCTATTATATTTCAAGTCTAAGTGGGGGAGGTTTTAAGCTGCCTTGGGCAATAAGTCAGCGATACACAAAGATACCAAATGTTTGTTGCACACATTGTACACCTCTAGGGAATTGAACCCAGGTCAATGGTCATGAGAATATGCTTGTACCACCAGGCCACCGAGTGCTGAATCGGACCTCCTTATGAACCGGAGCCATATTCCAAAATGATCGTTTATTAGGATATACTCTGTTAGAATAAACACACTATGTTTCTATTTCACCTTCCTTCGGAAATCTGGTTCAAGTAAGGGAGTATATATTTCTGTTGATTATTTCAAACAAATATGCCCATAGGTCCGATTTGTAAAAAGATTTGTCATACACTGATCCAAAGATCGCGATTAAAATAATGTAGCACCATGAGCATTCATTTGGTGAATGGAAACGGACACATGAGTGAACTTGTAATTATTGCACATGCAACCTGTTTAAGGTAAATCTATTCTTTAATTGAAAGCACATGCTGGCAACAGGAATAAGGTGGGAAGTCTGCATCATAATATTTTTCTTTGAGTAAGGTAAATCTTTTCATTGGTACTATGCCATTAAATCTTTTATCGTGAACACAGTGAAGACTTTTGGCATGCTCCCATCCCAATCACACACAGAAATAGGGGATCCAACACTGACAATATACTTCTACAACTACTTAAAGTTTCCTTTCTTCTCACATAATTATCAACAAGATAATTAGCAAACATACGTATCAGGTGACTAGTCTCCCACACTGTCCCCAGCAACTAATGCCTGGTTCTTCAGTGGCAAGATTACATGTGTGTTAGAGACGTGTGAGTTAGAGACGTATGAGAGACGTGTGTGTGAGAGACATGTGTGTTAGAGATGTGTGAGTTAGAGATGTGTGAGTTAGAGATGTGTGAGTTAGAGACGTGTGAGTTAGAGATGTGTGAGTTAGAGATGTAAGAGTTAAAGACGTGTGAGTTAGAGATGTGTGAGTTAGAGACGTGTGAGTTAGAGACGTGTGAGAGACGTGTGAGTTAAAGACGTGTGAGTTAGAGATGTGTGAGTTAGAGATGTGTGAGTTAGAGATGTGTGAGTTAGAGATGTAAGAGTTAAAGACGGGTGAGTTAGAGATGTGTGTTAGAGATGTGTGAGTTAGAGATGTGTGAGAGACGTGTGAGTTAGAGATGTGTGAGTTAGAGACGTGTGAGTTAGAGATGTGTGAGTTAGAGATGTAAGAGTTAAAGATGTGTGAGTTAGAGATGTGTGAGTTAGAGATGTGTGAGTTAGAGACGTGTGTTAGAGATGTGTGAGTTAGAGATGTGTGAGTTAGAGATGTGTGTGTTAGAGATGTGTGAGTTAGAGATGTGTGAGAGACATGTGAGATAGAGACGTGTGAGTTAGAGACGTGTGAGAGACGTGTGAGTTAAAGACGTGTGAGTTAGAGATGTGTGAGTTAGAGATGTGTGAGTTAGAGATGTGTGAGAGACGTGTGAGTTAGAGATATGTGAGAGACGTGTGTGTTAGAGATGTGTGAGTTAGAGACGTGTGAGTTAGAGATGTGTGTTAGAGATGTGTGAGTTAGAGATGTGTGAGAGACGTGTGTGTTAGAGATGTGTGAGTTAGAGACGTGTGAGTTAGAGACGTGTGAGTTAGAGACATGTGTGTTAGAGATGTGTGAGTTAGAGACGTGTGAGTTAGAGACGTGTGAGTTAGAGATGTGTGAGTTAGAGATGTGTGTTAGAGATGTGTGAGTTAGAGATGTGTGAGTTAAAAACGTGTGAGTTAGACACGTGTGAGAGACGTGTATGTCAGAGATGGGTGTGTTAGAGATGTGTGAGTTAGAGACGTGTGAGTTAGAGACGTGTGAGTTAGAGACATGTGAGTTAGAGATGTGTGAGTTAGAGACGTGTGAGTTAGAGGTGTGTGTGTTAGAGATGTAAGAGTTAGAGACATGTGAGTTAGAGACGTGTGAGTTAGAGATGTGTGAGTTAGAGACGTGTGAGTTAGAGACGTGTGAGTTAGAGACGTGTGTGTTAGAGACATGTGTGTGAGAGATGTGTGAGTTAGAGACGTGTGAGAGACGTGTGTTAGAGATGTGTGTGTTAGAGATGTGTGAGTTAGAGACGTGTGAGTTAGAGACGTGTGAGTTAGAGACATGTGAGTTAGAGACGTGTGAGTTAGAGACGTGTGAGTTAGAGATGTGTGAGTTAGAGATGTGAGTAAGAGACGTGTGAGAGACGTGTGTGTTAGAGATGTGTGAGTTAAAAACGTGTGAGTTAGACACGTGTGAGAGACGTGTATGTCAGAGATGGGTGTGTTAGAGATGTGTGAGTTAGAGATGTGTGAGTTAGAGACGTGTGAGTTAGAGACATGTGAGTTAGAGACATGTGAGTTAGAGATGTGTGAGTTAGAGACGTGTGAGTTAGAGACGTGTGAGTTAGAGACGTGTGAGTTAGAGACGTGTGAGTTAGAGACGTGTGAGTTAGAGACGTGTGTGTTAGAGACATGTGTGTGAGAGATGTGTGAGTTAGAGACGTGTGAGAGACGTGTGTTAGAGATGTGTGTGTTAGAGACGTATGAGAGACGTGTGTGTGAGAGACATGTGTGTTAGAGACATGTGAGTTAGAGACGTGTGAGTTAGAGACGTGTGAGTTAGAGATGTGTGAGTTAGAGATGTGAGTTAGAGACGTGTGAGTTAGAGACGTGTGAGTTAGAGATGTGTGAGTTAGAGATGTGAGTAAGAGATGTGTGAGAGACGTGTGTGTTAGAGATGTGTGAGTTAGAAACGTGTGAGTTAGACACGTGTGAGAGACGTGTATGTTAGAGATGGGTGTGTTAGAGATGTGTGAGTTAGAGACGTGTGAGTTAGAGACGTGTGAGTTAGAGACGTATTTGTTAGAGACATGTGTGTTAGAGATGTGTGAGTTAGAGATGTGTGAGTTAGAGACGTGTGAGAGACATGTGTGTTAGAGACGTGTGTGTTAGAGATGTGTGAGTTAGAGACGTGTGAGTTAGAGACATGTGAGTTAGAGACGTGTGAGTTAGAGACGTGTGTGTTAGAGATGTGTGAGTTAGACACGTGTGAGTTAGAGATGTGAGTTAGAGACGTGTGAGTTAGAGGCGTGTGAGTTAGAGACGTGTGAGTTAGAGATGTGTTAGTTAGAGGCGTGTGAGTTAGAGATGTGTGAGTTAGAGATGTGTTAGTTAGAGGCGTGTGAGTTAGAGATGTGTGAGTTAGAGACGTGTGAGTTAGAGATGTGTGAGTTAAAGATGTGTGAGTTAGAGATGTCTGAGTTAGAGACGTGTGAGTTAGAGACGACTCATTACCAGCAATCACAAGTTGCCAGAGGTTTGGAAATTCCATGTGCACTACGTTTTGGCAGATCCTTGGGACTGGGATTTTTCAAATTTGCCAGCAGGAGGCGCTTTTCAGTGGTGGGTTTCATAAGTCCAATACAATATTGAAAACATAGTGCCAATCTGTAGATTGCCTGGATATGTAGTCAACTGTTTAATATGTCAATCAAGACAGATACTTGAATGGAATGACATATTGGGATGTCATATTTGGTGGGAAGAAGCAATTATTCAGCTTCATTGGTCTGGTGACCTCTGAGATGAGGTTTACAGTGTGTGACAAACCAGTGATTGACATCATGAGCATTGATCTACATAATTGGGATACGATAACGTGCACCAAGCACAAGTCTGTGAACCCGATCACCTGATCCCGACAGTCGCCTCTATGACAAGCATTATGGGAGTTGAGGAAGACCTGTTCTAACCTGGCTCTCCACAAGGTATGACGGAGACTAGGGCAGAGGTAGAACCAGTCTGACTTAAACACTAATGAGAAGCCTGCCAGAAGCCCACCAGCACCTTACAGCAATCCCATGATCAGCAGCCTCACACAAATCACCTTCAATATCGGGGATCATAATTGCGGATATCCGCCAGGAAATAAGATCAAACTACCGAGGAAGTTATGAAATATCTTTCGTAATCAAAAGGATTCATTTGTGTTCACGCACAGGTTCAGTCCAAATGACTCTCTCCAACTAGCAACGTGCATCCGATCAAATTAAGTTCTTACGGTAATAGGTCCCACAGGAAATCTGACCACAAGGAGGGATTGGGATTCCACGACCCATGGCCTCAATCAACCAATTATTTGGGCAAATTGTTTCTGATTTGACTTCAATCAGTTGACTGATGTGGTTAGGAACAATTGCTTTCTTTGCCGATCATTACAAGGAGATATTTACAACTAGTCTGATCGAAAACACATAAACTCAACAGAGAATCCAAACAAAATGCAATAAGAATTTCTTGCAGTTCCTTCCAAACTTGGCAGATGCATATCGAAATAAGAGTGAGTGATGTTTAACACCCTGTCCCAGAAGCAATATTCCACCAGAAGCAATATTCCACCAGTGGAATGGCCGCTATATAAACTATAATTTTGATAGGGATATGTTTAGGATACATCATACACAAAAGTATTTTTCAAAATCTCTTATCAAATGTTGAGTAGTATATATTCCATTCTTAGCCAGGCAAACCAGTGGTTGATAGCATGAGCATCAATCCATGGCATCAGGTACACATGAGTAACCCAATCCTTAGTTTAGTCGGCTATTCTGACAAGCATCAGAGTACAATTTTCAGGATATGTCCTCCAAAATGTCCTCAAGATATTGCTCATATGTGGTAATGATATAGAGAAATGTTCAAATATATTTCAATACCAGCAAAATGTCCACAGTCAGCAACATTCCATGAATGTCATGACCTGTAAACATTTGAGTCTGGGCCAAACAAACTAGGGGTTGATGTCGTGAGCAACGTCCCAGGCCATCAGGTTACAATTCACATGCTATCAACCAAGCCACAGAGTCTGATCAACAGATACAATGTAGCTACAACAAGCACCAGAATGGTGAGACCCTATTGTACCTGGAGTCCCTTCATATGGTCAACAGCAAATTGACCCCACTATCAACAAGATACTGACCCAATATTATACAAATAATTACTCTGGACGAGGTCAAAACGTGAAATCAAGGACCCGAGGACCCAACCCCTGAGGTTGTCTGGCCAAACCACCACATGGGTCGGTCCGAGGGTCATTGTTTTCGCATATTTACCTTATGAAGAGTTAAATCATTCATTTGAAAATTCACTTTAAAGTTTATGAAGTCTTAAACCGTCTTCTGTTTCACTACAAATCACTTAGCTGCGAACTGTGATATGTTTGTAGCAGGCACCATCTTGTTTCCAATAGACAAGTCAATATTCATCACATGACAGGTCAATACTGATAATGATCATGACAGGTCAATATTTGAGGTCAGTGTCAGTCACATGATTTCGGGGTCAACATTGAAATGTATTTTTTCGTCATGAGGTACGGTTAAACCAAATGAATTGCAAGATTCTTAGTATAGGTATAACAACAACTACATATCGACCCCAATATTGTCTCTACACAATATTATCACCTTCTAACATCTGACTTACTATTGACATCACACTATGTTATGATCCAAGTCTAGTTTACTAAATCAATTCATTTCCCAGTAAAAAGACACCTTATTTCCCATATCTATCCCATAAAATCCATTCCTGATTAATCTGATTTTTGCGTCACCAGACAAATTGTTATAAGGTCAAAAACAGAAACCTGTCATCAAAACTGTTCAACTCGCTGAGCATTAGAAGAATTAATTTGTAAAGTGTATCATTCCTGGTGAAGGACGATAACATAAAACGCCTACGATTAGATTCGCCATACAACTATTATTAAATGTCATCAACATCTATTTTTGTAGATGTTTAGAATTCCTGTGTAGCTAAGGGAAAAATAAGTCAATACAGCAAGAATCTGACTGCTGAGATAAGAAACATGCTCACCGAACGAGGAGAAAATATATTTCTGGGCGTGTTGAGATTTCTTTAAAGAGGGAGATAAACTCATCACTGTTTAACCGTCCTCTTTTCCCTTCTTGTCTTTTCATCTCAAGTTCCTGAAAAATAAAAATGATAAGCTGTCAAATAAACCAATTAGTATTAGGGACAACAATTACATTACATCTAATACACATCTTGGGAAATGAACTTCACTTGTGTGTAAAGTTCATCACAACAGGTGCACAGAATGATTCAAATACCCAAATGATGACAGGAAGGACAAACCAGAGTGAGTGAGTGAGTGAGTGAGTGAGTGAGTGAGTGAGTGAGTGAGTGAGTGAGTGAGTTGCTTTTAACATCAATTTGAACAGTACAGGCATGGTGCTGACATACCTAGAAATAGGGATGTCATCATATATATATCGCAACATGGACGTATTGATTAAAAATTCCTTATGTCGATACTGTATTGGTACAAATGAATGAATATGGATACTAAATTAATAATTCACTGCCAGATCACTGCCTACATTTGTAAATATTACCACGGTTAAGATTGACGATCAGAAGGCAGAATAAACAAATTTTAACATTTAATGGATCTGTCTAGTTGATGCCTAGCATAAACATCATCGTCATCATCATTAATGTTGGAGGAAAGACCCAAGTAACTACATTGGCAATACCCACAAGCAAGGATGTGGTGCTGAAAAACCAAGGATCATAATCAGCATAAATCTAAAATATGAACCCACAATCATTGGATCCTTCACAAGAAAGGGAGGCAAATCTGCGCAAAAATAATGTGGCTTTAGAGAGCTACCCATGACTCTTATGAAAAGAGGAGAAGGATTTATCAATGTTACACATACTTGAGTATTTGATCATACTTCACAAATAGGACACTGTCCATTTTAGCATTGTGATTGTTATATACAGTCAAACACTGTTGTGTCAAAGTTGAAAGGACCTGCATAAATACTTCGAGTTTTCCGAAGGGTTTGAAACAACCAAAAAATAACTTGGCATACATCTACCGATCGACACCAAGAATGAATAAATCGAAACATATGCAACAAACAATGAGAAAACAAAATAAATAACTTTTATTATTCATCACTATTTGTAATAATGGCGTAGTAATTGAATTAATTAACATACAAAATATGTATACATTTATGTAAGGTTAAAAGTATAAAATACATACATGTTTAAAAAACATAACAGGTCACATATTCTGCATCAAGATTACACGAAATAGGAATCATATATGAGCAAACTCTGACTATTATGTTTGACAAATAATAATAGTCTAAATTGATTTTACTGTTAATTTCCGTTTTTTTAGGTGTAGGAACATCTGATTGGGTTATCCTCCCGGTAAACCAGGCCCTTCACTTGATTGCTCAGTGATGTTGCTAGCTGTACTGATTCATTGCCCTCTCTTTCCGTCATTTTATAACACTAGTGAACAAAAAGACTCAACGCAAATCCTAATCTGTGACACATTCCACAATTTGTAATCAAAAGATAAACACGTGACAATCACATGACACCATTCACTTCTGCGTGTGGTGTTGATGAAATGGCCTGTTAATCCCTGATAGACACATGAATGAAATGTTTCTTTGCTGTTAGGTGTGACTGAGTAACTAACAAGCCAGTAAGACTTTGACACACTGAACTCAAAGCAGTGGAGATTTCCGGCTTGTTAATTATATTTGTTTGTCTGTTGTTTAACGCTGCACTCAGCAATATTCCAGCTATATGATGGCAAACCAAAATGACCGATGAGTCGTGGGGAGATCCTCTTATCAGAGTAAATTTGTGCTGGAGTACATGTTTCGACTGAAAAATAACTTTGAGTCAACTGTAACTTCAACACATCCAATTCGACACATCGGAGGTTAAATAATAATGAATAAAGAAGGAATACTCAGGGACCAAACTTTTACTTTGAGACACCCATCATATCAAGTTCATCATGTTAAAGTTGGAACATCGCTCTGTAGAACAGGGCCCTCATCAGGAATTTTACCATGTTTCTTTCAATATCCATTTAAGATCCTAAGTTTGAGTTATTGCCCTTGATTTACATTCATTCTAAACCAATAACTAACATTTTGTTTTTTAAAAAATGCTAATACATAAATATTCGTACAAACATTCACCAAATTTTACTTCATAATCTTCAAAAGAGCTGCCAAAATGAGTGAGTGAGTGAGTGAGTGAGTGTTGGGTTGGGTTGAAGGTTGGATGCCACTTTTAACATTATTCCACGGCGTGTCAGCTTAGGGTGGGAGGAAAGACCAAAGTGATGCAGGTCTCAGATTTTTACCACTTCAGTGAAACCCACGAGAACAGGTATAGTGCTGACAGACCTAGAAACATAATCAGGGCGAAACGGGATTTGAACCCACAATCATAGGTTTCTTGCATACCCAAGGGAAGCAACTCTGCACAGCAAATTGCAGCACTTGAGACGACTGGGGCACCCATGATACCCGAATGAGTGAGTGAGGATGATAATCAGGTTATTAGATTCCTCAGGCAATGCCAAAAACTACAGGGAAGACGCATGTGAAGTTTGACTTGGATCATTCCAACAGTTTGAGAAAAAAACTCATTTTACACATCATGCATAGCGACAGATGAAGGACAAAATGCAAAGAGAGAAAGATAAACAAGTTGAAACTCTTGCCATGGGGAATTACTCATTATAGCATACCATCAATATCTGAACCAAATTTGGTCAAATCAGCAACAGCCATGCTTATTAATAACCATATACGGACATTACTGACAGCTTGGCCCCATCACAAACACAATACTCTGTAATACGAGACTAGCCCTGCACTTGGGAATCCTTAATTAGCCCATGTTAATCTGAAGGAAGGCTCTGGATTAAACAAATATCGCTGTCATTAACTGAGCTGGCTCTCCAGAACATTCGACTACATCAGTCAAGTATGGATGTACATAATCTCCTGAGACAACCCACCAATATGGAGGGAGATGCCATAACCTAGACGTACCTTCCATTTAGCTTGTGTAAATCATACTGGCATACCATGACGCTATCTATAGCATTCATTAGGAGAAGAAATTAATGCCAAGTATTTTTGGGTGCTCAGAAGGACAGTGTTCAGATGAAGATGATGTGTATTGATGTGGCTATTCTACTGTCTGCCGTTCTGGTGATGGCAGTGAGGTAGTAGCAGTAGTAGTGGGTGGAATACAAGCCTAGTGTTCAATATTATTGTTATATCACCAGCAGTAGTAGTGGGTGGAATACAAGCCTAGTGTTCAGTATAATTGTTATATCACCAGCAGTAGTAGTGGGTTGAATACAAGCCTAGTGTTCAGTATAATTGTTATATCACCAGCAGTAGTAGTGGGTGGAATACAAGCCTAGTGTTCAATATTATTGTTATATCACCAGCAGTAGTAGTGGGTGGAATACAAGCCTAGTGTTCAGTATAATTGTTATATCACCAGCAGTAGTAGTGGGTTGAATACAAGCCTAGTGTTCAGTATAATTGTTATATCACCAGCAGTAGTAGTGGGTGGAATACAAGCCTAGTGTTCAGTATAATTGTTATATCACCAGCAGTAGTAGTGGGTGGAATACAAGCCTAGTGTTCAATATTATTGTTATATCACCAGCAGTAGTAGTGGGTGGAATACAAGCCTAGTGTTCAATATTATTGTTATATCACCAGCAGTAGTAGTGGGTGGAATACAAGCCTAGTGTTCAATATTATTGTTATATCACCAGCAGTAGTAGTGGGTGGAATAAAAGCCTAGTGTTCAATATTATTGTTATATCACCAGCAGTAGTAGTCGGAGTAATATCAGTGTTCACTCTTATAGAACTAACGTTTGCTCTTTCCCCATGTGTAATACATGTACAGTCAAATTTGCTCTGTTTTACAATTAGGTGAAGTTAAAAAAAGAAAGAAAAGATTTTATCACTGCTGTACATTAAAAATGGTGACTAATAACATGTATAAATATGTTTAGTCTAACCAAACATAACAATCAATTATCTTTCATTATTGTTTTGCAATCTTACTTCCAAGATGGCGTGACCTATGAGTTTTGTCATTCATTAGTTGCTGTACTAATCTGGAAGTTGCATTTTTGTATTCTTTCAGATGAACTTTTAAAAGTTTTAAAATTGTTACTTCAGCCATAAGGACCCACACCTCATCCTTTCTGGAAAGCATCCTGACAAGCAGAGAGAGCTGTCTGTAACCAACCCCATTCAAGCTGACCCCATCCACATATTCCAGGCATGACCTACCAACCCTTCCACACATACAACCTGTGAACCATCAAAGCATCAGACTCTTCTGAACTTTTTTGTTTTAATTAGAAACAACATCTAAGGTCTTTCCCAAACAATCTGTTTACTTCTGGCGGTGTGTTGTGATTGTGTAGCTCCACCTACTGGTACATGCTGTAAGGTGTGTCCTACAGGGCCTTGTATCCAGCTCAGACTGGACCACCGTAAGTGAATTAACTCCACGTGAATGTAGGAATCATCAAGGGACTTAATGAGAGCTGCTTGCTGAGACTTATTATGTGAAGACCCTCACAAACTATGCTTGTGATTGAATACCACCTTGAAGTTAAAACATCACCGGAACATTACGTGTGTACCACTCATGGTTTTTAATAGATTTTACAAAGTGATCTTGGAAATGGAGATGTATTTGGTTCAAGTATACTCAAAGTAAATTGCAGGTAGGTATTGCAGACATAGTTTTTTCATTAAAATGTCATAAAGCAGAGAGGGCCTTTAGCTGCTTGAAATGAGGAAAATGTAATGAAACTCCCACACTTGGCATCCATTGACAAGCCTCTGGGGGAAGAACGTCACTTGATCAAATACTGACCATTCCCTTTTGTGTCATTCAATTTCCTTTGTTTAAATTGGTTCAGAAATAAGGTGATTTAATGTTAATTTTCATCAACTAAAATATGAGTGTTCGTTGATAGTTTATCTCATAAATATGCTAAATAATTTGTGTTTTAGTTAACTCTTACAGAATAAAATAGGTTAATATTGCACTCCTAATACCAACATGGTAACGTGAGTGAGTTGGGTTTTACAACACTTTAAGGAATATTGCAGCTATATCATGACACGAAAATGGCCTTCATACATCCCCTGCCAACAGAGTGATATACTGAGTGTAAGATACAAAAGCTGGCTAGGACTTGTCTCAAAGAGTCAATGGCACTAAATCAAACATAAAACATAAAAAAAAATCCAAATACATAGAAGTAAGTAGTTGATCATTTAAATGGTTCATCAATGATTCACTGACAGGAATTTGTTGTCAGGAAAACTGGACAATTTAACATCTCCAAACTTCCTAAATATCAAGACACATAAGTACTTGGTTAGACTGATATCTGTGCAAAATGTGATCAGGAAATATTGAATGGTGTTTGGGTTATGCTCTGAAAAACAAATCGTGAAGGACGGACAGCACCCCTTCCTATATCCTCCCACTTTGTGGCAAGGGATAATAAGAGTAAGGCCATTTGGGCACTTTCAGATATGATAGTCCAACATCTGTTTCAGGACAAGGACCAATAGCAAGGTCCATAACATTGCATGCATGACTGCAGCTCCGCGGATATAAAACACCATGAGCTGCGTGCATCAACTTGTCCACAGCTCATTACTCGATATATAGCAAACAGATATATTTGGCGAAAATAAATCGTCAAAATTAATGGTAGGAGGAAAACTGGATATCAATTGTAGTTATATTACCATAAGGGCACAGATAGAGATGAAATTATTTCAAGTAATTCTCACAGAGCATTAAATGTTCGCATCATTCCGATCACATAGTTCGTTTAGATTGTTCTGTTGTTTTCATTTCTGTCAGACAATCAAAGCAATGTGACGTCACATGAATGCATTGTCATAAATAACTGACAACAACATCATCCATTGTTCATGACATCACAAAAGACGTCATTCAGACAATGACTATCTGACCTGCTATCTCTACTTGAGATCAGGAAGTTCTCTCAGAAAGAAAGACTATGGGTAATATGAAGAACAACCTACTCGCAGCTTTGAATTGCAGATTATCTGTCCTTCTTGAATTAATGTCATAAGTCCATCACAAGCTGCCTGAACCCGATTTGTTGCTGATTCAACACTTTTCATTCTTTATCTCGGCTGAGAGGATTTAGAGACAAAAGAATAATCCTTATTACTGGGATAATTGGAACCTGTGTAAAGATCATCTTTACCATTTAGTTCCAACTTGTACACATTTCATCGCCAAGGCTCGGAACAAACTTAATTCACTCGAGACATATAATCTGTAAATCCGTGTTCTTCAAAGAGGATTCTTTAGATATGCAGCGCATGGCAGATCTGATTTACTGTTTCAATGTAATTTCATTAATTTCTTTGTTTTTAGTTCTCATGGTCAATCCATCAAATGTACTTAATCAGTGTTCTAGTCTGGGTCCTGATACTGCAATATCACATTGTCAAGCTCAGTCCTAGGCAGCTGATTTGTTTGTTTCTTGTTTAACACCGCACTCAACAATATTCCAGCAGTATGACCACAGCCTGTAAACAATTGAGTCTGCACCAGACAATCCAATGATTTACATTGTGAGCAACAATCCGCATCGTTGGGTACAGTGGCATGCAATTAACCAAGTCACTGATCCCGACTACCCGATCCATTTGGCCGTCTCATACGACCAGCACAGGTTGCTAGGAACCTATTATAACCAGGAACCCCCCATGGGGTTCATCTAAGACAATCTCTCGCAATGAACTCAGGAGGTCCACAGCATATCAAAAACCAATTCACTTGTCTAGCAGTTGGGAAGAAGTGAGCTTTGAATTATGACATTACAATATGGCTGAAAGTAGCATGGCTAAAAATTCCTCATAACATTTTTTTTATCATGAAAAAACATGTTCCAAATACAAACCAGATAAATCGTCCTTTCACTATATGGGAACATTTATTACATCAACAGGGAGCAGAACACCTCCAAGACTAACAATGATGGATTTTAAATGCCATAAACCTTCCCTTCCATTTCATTCCCTCATACAAATCCATACATATCAGACCCGAGAAGTTGGTGATATTGATCCTCTGGAAATTCTCAGAACAAAATTGACCATTTCCTTTGACAGAGAGGCAGGTTATTGTAGGATTTGCTATCATGATCAACCAAATGGCATCCCACTAGCTGGGCAAACCTTCGGCCCCAAGAACCTTGCCATAGGGAGGCTAGGCTTAGACCTTTTATAATCCCAGAAGCCTCCACTGCCATATAACCTGCTGCAGACCCAAAAAAGATCTTTTCCCGACTTGGAGTGTCTTGTAAATTACCTACTGATCACTGTTATCCATGCAAGATGATTTCATTACCACTTTCAGCTTCTGCGTCATCTGATGTCCTTTTTTGTTTTTTTTAAACAACATTTTCTGCACTTTCAGTGGGTTTGACTTATGTGTAGTCAAGGTCATTTGTGATAAAGGGCAAATAGGCCACATGGAAAAGTATTAAGTAAAGAGGGTTAGAGGAATCTCTTGGAAAGTAATTTTGTACATTGTCTGCCAGAAAAGGTTTTAATATGGAAGGGTTTGTCAGACTGTGCTGCCGTAAAAGCATATATTTTGGAAAAGGTCAGGGCTATTTGGGATTGTGGGTTGTGTGAAGACATTTTGGGGTTTGAGTTTCAAGGAGGAATGTTGCGCTGTTTAAAGGGTAATAAATGTGCTCTTATCACACAAAACACATGTCTAGTTGCAGACAGCTTATATCAATGTTCATCAAAATCTGCCAGAAACCGATCTGTTGCTGATCCAACACTTTTCATTCTTTAACCCGGCTGAGAAGATTTTGAGGCAAAAGAATAATCCTTATTACTGGGATAACTAGAACCTGTAAAAGATCATCTTTACCATTTAGTTCCAATTACCAATCCGAGTTCGTGCAAAAAAACCAACATTTGTGTCTACTTGACTGAACTCAGCATCATTTTCAGAAGCTTTTAGTGCTCTTGGCTGAGCTGAGCTGAGCTACGAAGACAATTTAACTAGACTCAGACTTTGGACTCATGGCTCATGCTAAGGTACACTTCTTCAACACTTCAACAAGTAAAAGAGTGAATTTTGCAGTGTTACACTAATATTCAGTGACCCTGTAAACAACAGAATCTGAGCTTATCAAACCAATGGTTGATAACATGAGCTTCAGTTCTTGCTGCCAGGGTAAGACACGATATGATGAGACAGGTCCTATATTGTAAGCCCTTGTTAGTCATCAGTCAGCTCTTACAATACGCATGATTTTGTTTGTGTGTTTGTTGTTTAACGCCGCACTCAGCAATATTCCACCTATATGACGGTGGTCTGCAAATAATCAAGTCTGGACCAGACAATCCAGTGATTGACATCATGAGCATCAATCCACGCAACGATCCTGTCAGTTGCCTCTTACAACAATTCTGGTCGACTTTTACATCAAGAATGGGTTGCTGAAGACCTATTCTACCCCAGATCTTCACGGCTCACAATAAGTATGAGATGCTGAGCACTAAACTGCACACAGGATAAGAGAATTTAAGATTGGGCTCACCAACAAAACACTGGGATGGGAGATCGATGGTCCACTAGATCTATCACAGAATGGTTTATCTGTTGGGCTCCAAATGAGATACTTTTTGTAAATAGTTTGATTGTTCAGCATTAGAAATTGACACTAGTCCTGTAGCCCATGCCAAACTGCCCAATTGTTAAGGTATCATAAGGACTAGTAGGAATTTGCCTTTGTTAAGTGTTTTTGCTTTATGTTATCATTATAAGGACTATATAGACTAAAAATGTTAGTTTCTCCTGCTGATGTTGTTTACTACCACACTCAGCAATATTCCAGCTGGAAGAAGGCTGTATGTCATCGTGTCTGGACCAGTCAATCCAGTGATTGACATCATGAGCATTGATCTACTCAAGTGGGACATGATGACTTCCACCAAGTCAGCAAGTCTGACCACTGATAGTCGATAAGTCGTATCTTAGTGCAAGCAAGTGTTCCTGAAGACAAATTCTAACCTGGTCATCTAAGTGAGTTTGACAGATAGAAGCATACTTTATCTTGGCAGCTCAGTAATCTCTAACACTCAAGTAATCAACCGCCTCTGTGGTCTAGTGGCAGAGTGTCCACCTGGAAAGCGTAAGGTCTGGGGTTTGATCCCCGGCTGCGCCTAACCAGAAGACGTTAAAAGATGGTATTTGTTGTTAACCTGCCAGGCGCTCCAGTGAGGTAGTCATGTTAAACTGTGGCATAGTATCTCAGTGGGCTAGCACTATAAATCGGCATCAGTCCGGACTAGTACAAGCAGCCCCAAATACATACATGTGCATGCATGTCACTGTATAAGTGCAATAATCTTAGACGTGACATTGGACGTGACATTAAACCAGCATTAGGAATTGGCACTGGTCCTGTAGTCCTTGCCAAACTGCCCAATTGTTAAGGTATCATAAGGACTAGTAGAAATTTGCCATTTTTAAGGGCTTTGCTATATGTTATCATTATAAGGACTATTGGACAAAAACTGTTAGTTTTCTAGTTTGATTAAACCCCATTTCGCCTCACCTCACCTCACCTCAAGTAGTCCAGTACACTGACCTACAATGACACTGTCCACCATATGATGTCATCAGCCCCGTGCAGAACATGGTATTTAGCATTATAAATGGAGAGTTGTCTCACCTTTAGTTTCTGATAGATGACAGATGTAGTGATGGTAGAGTTGATCCTCCTCATCAGCTTCACCACCTCCGTCTCCTCCAGCACCCCTGACTGACCCGAGTCCGCTGTCTCAAACAGCTCCAGCAACCATGTACACATGTTAAGGAAATGTACACACTTTCAAAACAACAACTTTACAGGCATCATGGCTGCTGTGACATCAGAACAGCAAAAGGCACCACTTCAACACACGCATGAGTATACACATGTGCTGTGACATCTAAACAGCAAAAGGCACCACTTCAACACCTGCATGAGTATACACAAGTGCTGTGACATCTAAACAGCAAAAGGCACCACTTCAACACCTGCATGAGTATACACATGTGCTGTGACATCTAAACAGCAAAAGGCACCACTTCAACACCTGCATGAGTATACACATGTGCTGTGACATCTAAACAGCAAAAGGCACCACTTCATCATCTGCATGAGTATACACATGTGCTGTGACATCTAAACAGCAAAAGGCACCACTTCAACACCTGCATGAGTATACACAAGTGCTGTGACATCTAAACAGCAAAAGGCACCACTTCAACACCTGCATGAGTATACACAAGTGCTGTGACATCAGAACAGCAAAAGGCACCACTTCATCATCTGCATGAGTATACACAAGTGCTGCTGTGACACGTAAACAGCAAAAGGCACCACTTCAACACCTGCATAAGTATACACATGTGCTGTGACATCCAAACAGCAAAAGGCACCACTTCATCATCTGCATGAGTATACACATGTGCTGTGACATCTAAACAGCAGAAGGCACCACTTCAACACCTGCATGAGTATACACAAGTGCTGTGACATCTCACCATCTAAACTCATTGCCCTGTAAACTTAAAAAAAAGAAAAACAATCCTGAATAGCAGGAGGCACTAGTTCAGTGCATGCTGATATGTGTACAAAGTTTCATGAAGAAATATTGATGGACCAACGGACGATAATTCAGAAAGAGGCTTGCACAACTACTTCAATCCAACTTAACTCTTTCAACACCAGTCAACCAGAAGTGTTTACTGCTGGGACACCGAGTTCCCAGAGACTCTTGTGTAATAGATGAAGCCAACATTTATCAAAGAAAATACCTGCTTGTAAAATATATTTGCTACTACATGTTATACACCATTTGAAAGGTCTGATCCTATGGTTTATAAATATGAAAGTTATATTTTTCAAATTATTTAAAATAATGCATTTACAACTTAATTAAATTTGTTGTAAATAAAAAATGTACGCTAACACGTTGTTAACATCCAGATTAAGGACCAAGGAAGCGAAAACTTGATGATTTTCGGCAAATATATGATTTCATAATATCCAAGTACCTATTTCTGTTTTATTTTCATTGTTTACGTAATTGGAAAATCATTTTAAAAAGAATTATAAATAGTTTCTGTCATCACCCATTTCCCGATAACAGCGACTGTCCGCCCAGTAAAATGAAGAAATACCCCCGTTTTCGAGGTTTCGCATGAATAACACGTTCGTCGAAGAATGGCATATGACACATCGCTGGAAAGCTTATTCCTTCATCTACACGCTCGTAACATCGACTGTTTTTTTTCCGTAGTTATAACAAGCGATTTCATTGGATTAAAATTGGTTTCTAATGACGCTTTCTTGCTGAAATCTGCTACAAGTTTCGTGATTGGTCAATTTTGAGCACGTGACCTAAGGCAGCCAATCAAATTACAGCTGTGATACCAAGCTCGTGTTCGATAAATTACAGAAGTTTGCGAAAGAATTTTGTTAAATCGTGTTATTCTGAACGTTTTGAGCAGGAAATCACGATATATATTAAAAATATGGAACTTCGTGAATGTATCCTGCTAGGTTACGAGCTGTGACAAAGATTTTTCATGCATATATTTTTGCATTAAACATCGTGTCCGAGCCGAGAATTCAAGGCGACGAAAGCCGAGATGTCATTTGACTTACATTACACGCGATCGCACGAAAAGGTGGAAATAATAACTTAGATGTAAGTTTGATTACTTTTAGATATATTTTTGTTGATTTTATTTATTACTTTGTATAATATATTTAAAGATTTGTTTAAAACGTCTTTATTTTCCTCTTTGACGTGTTCGATGTGGACCCGTTGTCGAAATGTGTGTCGAAATCGCGAGAAATAGTGAATAATTTTTTAATTTAACGATAAAACATGTTAAATTGAAATGGAATATGTATTTCAGACATTGTGAAATGTGATAGATTTAATAAATGAATGACATTACAGGTAGGTCCATAAAAATATATACTATTTTGACGTGACTACGGCTTGGCCGGATAACTGGCCTGTGGTGTCTGGGGACTCGATGCTTCTTGGGCGGATAACCGGCCTACGGTGTTGAAAGAGTTAAGGACCGGACATAGAACTATAGTTGAAAGTGTGACAATACGCATACATCAGTGAGTAAGTTCTGTTTAATGCCACTTTGAACAATAGGTCAGCTGAATGTGGGAGAAAAACCTGAAGGGAGCAGGTCTTAGAATTTTCCCACTTGATGAAACCCATGAGCAAACCCAGAACCATAATCAGGGTGAACAGGGATCCGGGCACATGATGACTGGCCTAGGTTTCTGGCAAGCATAAGGGATGCAACTCATGTGTCATCTTAGACAACTGGCCAAATCAACTCATACATTGTAATGGCAATTAATGGTCCTATTAAATTTCCAAAATTGCTTCTACAATCAGTAGGGCTAAATCAAAATCTGAATTTGAGCTTATTTAGCAGACGAAAAAGTCATATTACTCAATACCTGTTTCTCAGCTTTTTTTCATTTGGACATGGATTTCTCAGATTGTAATTTATTACCTAACTGCTTTTTTGAAACATGGCTTCATTTGAAAGAAAATCCTACAGCTGTGACCTGTCTGCAGATTCATTCTCTTTTAATCATTTTTGTCCCTTCCACATCGCCCTTCTGATCACGAAGTGCTATTTCCAGTCCTTGAAGTATATGCTCAGATGTATCTTGTTTGTTCAGCGCCACCTGAAACTAACCGATATGTACAAATATCTTTCCAGTGATTCTGCCCGAGACCAGGACTGAATTATCTTGGTGATAGGCGTATTTTGGTAGCCCTTCTATTCTACACTGATGGAGTATAGATTACGTCTCAAAACATCAAGCCTGCCATATCAAAATAACATCACATTCTTCAATGGAAATCTTTTTGTCATCTTGAGGCCTTGATCATGACCCAGGATCAAACAATAAAGAAGTATTGTTAATATACTCGCATTACATCCTCAAGCTAACAATGGTGTCCCTCACGGAATCCTGGCAGACGTAAATATACCTTTGTTCATGATAATACTAACAGCTTGTCAAATCTAATCAAGAATTTAAAGTCCAAACCGTTCTGGCTATTTTGACATGGCATCAATGCCTGTTTTCTTTGGATACTTAAGACCTGGCGCTCAATAAGCGCAGCTTCGTCTTTGCCCAATGTTATCAAGCCATGATGAAATATATTGTGACTGCAAAATCTATTTTTCCTTCACTTCAGCGGGTAGAGGCCCTAATCTAAGGGAGTCAATACTGCAATAACAGCTGTGATGAAGTAGGGCAAATCTCTCCTGTATAGAATAAGGATGGAAGTCACTAGGGGCCGGTGGAATGATGCTGCCCTCAACAGGAAGTGACTAACAGAGTTGTGCCCCTTGTTTGATTGCCAACTGCACTACCAGTGCATATCTGCATATAATCGGGGTCATGTCCCATTAGCAACTTAATGATGCCAAGAGGCTATAATCAAAAAGACATAACTTGTCTGGACATACTGTGGGTTGTGTTGCTGATAGGTTGCAGGGTGAAGTGGTCAGAGATTCTCACAAATGGGGGGAAGGTTCTGTCAGTGGGTAGATTCTGCTAAGGGGTCAGGTTATGGTAATGGCTATATTCTGTTAATGGGGTAGGTTCTGGTAATTGGCTAGATTCTGATAATGAGGAAGACTCTGGTAATGGCTAGATTCTGATAATGGGTAGGTTATGGTAATTGGTAGATTCTGGTAATGGGGTAGATTCTGATAATGTACGTAACATTTGATTGCAGTAATTCTGAACAAGTTCTCTTTTGCTCAATTTGGCTACAAATTGGAACTCAATATAACTGACAAAAACGTCGTAAACATTTTGTCTTGACAAGCTACAAACACTAAGAACCAGTGATTCAGGTGTACAGTTATATTTAGTACTCTGGACTAGTCTTAGAAAATATGAATCTCAAAGGCAGAAAAATATTGTTGCAGTTCACAATACAGACATGTTAACAGCTGTCTACTGTACCCCGATACACTGGAAATACCTTCTGACATGAGACAAACCTGTGTGTCAACAGCCATAAAAGAGTCTGCAGCTTAAAAAGGATATGTATCTCTCATCTGTTGGAGGTCTTCGATAGCATTGGGAGCTGCAACAAAAGGCAGAACACCTACATATACATTCTGTACAATACTGATACAAACCTTTACAACCAATACAAATGTTATCAACAGTGTTTCCTGCTACAGTCGGCTATATTCCAGCTATATCACGCTGACCTATAAACAGGCAAACCAGTGGTTGACAGTATAAGTACCCAAGACTGTTGCCAGTGGATATTGGTTCACCCACACCCTGTACACTGCATGTTTGGTTACAAATTCAATTTAAAACGGTTAAATCTTCAGGTAACCTAGCTCTACATAGTAAACACAGTTCATCTCCTAAGCTTGTTACACCTATATTCCAAAATTAAACAGCAGAAACAAAACAGAAAATGTGTCCTTGTTAAGTTTCAAATTTGCTTACATCACAAAAAATTGGTGAAAAATAAGTGAACACACACAATCAATCTTCCATTTCCACTGTGCTAAGATTGTGCTCTCAGTGTTTCCAGACAAGCATCTCCAAAGAGAGCTCACTGTTTCCGACACAGAAGAAGATAGATGGGATTCAAACCAGGATGAGGATTTTCTAATGGTGACAACAAATCATTCTATTTCCAGAATGTCCTTCCTCGGAGGCCAAATGGCTAATGCCAGAGTTTGGAAACCATTATACCGAGTCGTGTAAACAGTGTGTAGCTCAGCTCATGGACTAATGAGCACCAGAAAGGAAAAGCTCATTCACTTGCCACGACATCACATTTATCATACCTATTTCAAGGTAAGGCACAACTATAAAGTTCAACCTAAATCCCCCTGGGATCACCTCAGTCGAGTTTGAAAAGTACATGAAACAGAGGGGAAAAAATTCACAACACCATAAAGACTATTTTTCTTCAGATGGCATCTATTTTGCGTTTCCCAAGATAAAGACAAACTATACTATACATCCAACATCATCTGTAACATTGTGGGTTGTACTTCTTTCAAAAACATCTATTGACAAAGGGAGGCAACTCTGCATGGGGAGTTCTGGCTCCTTTGAACATTTGGCCATTTGTTGGTGTGTTTGCTTGTTGTTGAAAGCTCTCAATGCTACTGTCAGACAAATTTGACAGAGTGTGCTGCTAGCCCTGCAACATCAGTCGAACCCATTCGATAGGCACATAGCATAAGGACACCCCAAATAAAACTTGCAATAACTGTTCACCAACTAGGTTTCATGCATCATGTAAATTATGTATGATATGTATAAACATTCAGCTTTCCAAATATCAAAACCTTCATGAGTTTATTTACCTCTAAAAGAAATTACTGCATAGGACAAACATCAGATCCAATTGAATGAGTATCCTAAATTTAAGCACGAAGTTATACCCAAGTCGGAAAGTGGCATGGTAAGACGCAGCTAACATGAAAAAAAAGCCTGCACCCCTACTCTGGATCACAAGTGAACAGGTTACATGTGCACACCCTGACTCCTACTCTGGATCCGCCAGTGAACAGGTTACATGTGCATACACCCTTCACCCCTACTCTGGATCCGCCAGTGAACAGGTTACATGTGCACACCCTGCACCCCTACTCTGGATCACAAGTGAACAGGTTACATGTGCACACCCTGCACCCCTACTCTGGATCACAAGTGAACAGGTTACATGTGCACACCCTGACTCCTACTCTGGATCACAAGTGAACAGGTTACATGTGCACACCCTGCACCCCTACTCTGGATCCGCCAGTGAACAGGTTACATGTGCACACCCTGCACCCCTACTCTGGATCACAAGTGAACAGGTTACATGTGCACACCCTGCACCCCTATTCTGGATCACAAGTGAACAGGTTACATGTGCACACACCCTGACTCCTACTCTGGATCACAAGTGAACAGGTTACATGTGCACACACCCTGACTCCTACTCTGGATCACAAGTGAACAGGTTACATGTGCACACCCTGCACCCCTACTCTGGATCACAAGTGAACAGGTTACATGTGCACACCCTGCACCCCTACTCTGGATCACAAGTGAACAGGTTACATGTGCACACCCTGCACCCCTACTCTGGATCACAAGTGAACAGGTTACATGTGCACACCCTGCACCCCTACTCTGGATCACAAGTGAACAGGTTACATGTGCACACACCCTGACTCCTACTCTGGATCACAAGTGAACAGGTTACATGTGCACACCCTGCACCCCTACTCTGGATCACAAATGAACAGGTTACATGTGCACACCCAGCACCCCTACTCTGGATCACAAGTGAACAGGTTACATGTGCACACCCTGCACCCCTACTCTGGATCACAAGTGAACAGGTTACATGTGCACACCCTGCACCCCTATTCTGGATCACAAGTGAACAGGTTACATGTGCACACCCTGCACCCCTACTCTGGATCACAAGTGAACAGGTTACATGTGCACACCCTGCACCCCTACTCTGGATCACAAGTGAACAGGTTACATGTGCACACACCCTGACTCCTACTCTGGATCACAAGTGAACAGGTTACATATGCACACCCTGCACCCCTACTCTGGATCACAAGTGAACAGGTTACATGTGCACACACCCTGCAGCCCTACTCTGGATCACAAGTGAACAGGTTACATGTGCACACCCTGCACCCCTACTCTGGATCACAAGTGAACAGGTTACATGTGCACACACCCTGACTCCTACTCTTGATCACAAGTGAACAGGTTACATGTGCACACCCTGCACCCCTACTCTGGATCACAAATGAACAGGTTACATGTGCACACCCAGCACCCCTACTCTGGATCACAAGTGAACAGGTTACATGTGCACACCCTGCACCCCTACTCTGGATCACAAGTGAACAGGTTACATGTGCACACCCTGCACCCCTATTCTGGATCACAAGTGAACAGGTTACATGTGCACACCCTGCACCCATACTCTGGATCACAAGTGAACAGGTTACATGTGCACACCCTGCACCCCTACTCTGGATCACAAGTGAACAGGTTACATGTGCACACACCCTGACTCCTACTCTCGATCACAAGTGAACAGGTTACATGTGCACACCCTGCACCCCTACTCTGGATCACAAGTGAACAGGTTACATGTGCACACACCCTGCAGCCCTACTCTGGATCACAAGTGAACAGGTTACATGTGCACACACCCTGACTCCTACTCTGGATCCGCCAGTGAACAGGTTACATGTGCACACACCCTGCACCCCTACTCTGGATCACAAGTGAACAGGTTACATGTGCACACCCTGCAGCCCTACTCTGGATCCGCCAGTGAACAGGTTACATGTGCACACCCTGCACCCCTACTCTGGATCACAAATGAACAGGTTACATGTGCACACACCCTGACTCCTACTCTGGATCACAAGTGAACAGGTTACATGTGCATACACCCTGCACCCCTACTCTGGATCACAAGTGAACAGGTTACATGTGCACACCCTGACTCCTACTCTGGATCACAAGTGAACAGGTTACATGTGCACACCCTGCACCCCTACTCTGGATCCGCCAGTGAACAGGTTACATGTGCACACACCCTGCACCCCTACTCTGGATCACAAGTGAACAGGTTACATGTGCACACCCTGCAGCCCTACTCTGGATCCGCCAGTGAACAGGTTACATGTGCACACCCTGCACCCCTACTCTGGATCACAAATGAACAGGTTACATGTGCACACACCCTGACTCCTACTCTGGATCACAAGTGAACAGGTTACATGTGCATACACCCTGCACCCCTACTCTGGATCACAATTGAACAGGTTACATGTGCACACACCCTGACTCCTACTCTGGATCACAAGTGAACAGGTTACATGTGCACACCCTGCACCCCTACTCTTGATCACAAGTGAACATGTGCGGACCAAGAACAGAGGTGGGGCAAACCCATTCTTGGCTTTCCCACACCAGAATACTGCCAAAGCACAAGGCCAAGCCCGACAGACCAGTCAAAATCTGCCGCTATCCCTTCACAACCAATAAATTCCACACCAAAATGAAATTTCCACCACAACCAACTAACCCATCATTTGTCTGGGGCACATCAAATCTTTTAAGTGTATTCATGAAGACATGTTCAGCTCCAAATACTTGCTATTGAAAATCTTTATTACATCCCTGGCCAATAATTAAACGAATGCAGTGTATGCCATCCCTCACCGCCATCATGAATACTAGAGTGTCCTATTTTTATGCAGAACCAATATTGGTATTGATGTAATTCCAATCAACCACTTTCCAATTTTCCCTGACAGGGTTCCACAAACTTAAGTCTATAAGTTGCTGAAGAGCACTTGGCAAACTCATTTTCTGCAAGACTCCAAGTTAACTAAGCTTAATGGTGGCTGTACCATGACACAAACTTACAGGTCTGAGATTTGGAACTGGCATTAATGAGACAGGTAAGACCAGTAACCCATATATTCGCCTCATCCGGCGTATTGGCGATCAGATCCATCGACTCGAACTCCTCTCCAAAGATTATGGAAAAAGCGCATTCGTCGGGGTAAATCCCTGCAATTTCCTTGTTCCGAAGAGCATCTGTGGTTTTTCCTTGCCGGACCTCTTTGACTGATCGAACAGCAACTGTAACGACAAATGGTTTGAGATCGGTTAGAGTAATTACATGGGATGGTGTCAAATGACAGCAACAGGATGTTAGAGAGCCACCTGGAGGGAAATTATGTCACAATGGTTATGTCCAAGATTGGGGTTTAATCAATCTTATTGAATTGTCTGACAGGTATCTGCTGCAGATCTGTGTCAAAGAAACATCACAAAAGGATTCAGTGATAAACATGGATGCAGGTGGTAATGTAATTATTCCATGTCACCATACAATGCTGACAAGAATGTTGGAGAATGTTATTAGAATCTTGCCAGGACAATAACAGTTTTGGGGAAGTTTTATGAGCAAGATATTGATTGATATTGTACTTGGTCATGGTGTGTTATTGAGCAGTTCATGAAAGTCCCCAGGTCCTAGTGGGCTGCCTACATTCAAATAGCATAAGACAAGGGGTCGGTCATTTATTATAGAGGGGGGTGGGGGTTTTGGGGGTGTTGGGGTGGAGGGTCAAGGTCAGAGGGAATCAGATTGAATCAGGGGAGGATGTTCAGATGTTGGATGTTTTCCATGACACAAACAGAAAATCTGTTCAAAACAACTCAATCCCTATAAATCTGTTCATCGTCTTCAGTGCTTGAAATTTAACATGATTGTCAAGGGGTCATCGACAAGGGTGTAACGATACACTAATATTCCAATGCATCGCGATATTTAACCCACCATATGATACACATGGGCCTATATATCAATACGGAATCTTAAGAACAGTGTTCACTCAATATTGCACCCCTCAATATAGTGCTAACCCAGTTATAGCATGAGGTAACGCATGGCTCCCAAAACTTACTTACATTTTTAATAAGGCTTAGTTTCCTGCTTAGTGAATGAGAAAATATGTAAAGTAATCGTAATCTCTGCACATTAAACAATACCTTGGAGAGCAGGAAATACAATTTTAATGGTAAATCATTGTGTCTTTTGATTTTTTATATTAAATTTCATATTTTTATTGACCAAGTTTATATAACTGTTCGCTTACCTGAATTCGCTACAGGGATACAATGTGATTTTTCTAAAGGGCATAACACACGATAAATTTATATTTACACTATGAATCATAAACAACTGCTATTCTAATCTTTTTTTAAAGTCAGAAAGGTACATGGTAGATCTTGTGAGGTCAGAAGAGCATGTACTGTTGTGTTGGTCATCTACCCCTGACTCTAACTTGGTAAAGATACAACAGCAGGAGACACCGTCAGTGCCCGAGGGCATCAGTGTCCCTTGACAATGTACACATTTAAATTTTTCTGAAAAAGAACCCTGAACTTGAACTATTCAGACTGTGAAGTACATTGATTATTTTCTGGTGTTTGAACTTTGAAGTTTTCTGTTGTTTTGAAATTTACAGCATTTGAAGGAAAGTTAGAGAAAGTTCCACTTTGAGGCAAAACAACTTTACTAGTCTTGTTATCATAAAAGAATTTTGACTGTACCAAAATCATGAAAGGTCCAATCGTGACATGCTTGAAGCCTTGAAACTTATTAAAAGCTGAAGCACTGTTATCTGTCTTTTATGCATTGTTGCGTAACGTGATACATATCGTAATGTGACCAAACTATCGAGCAACGTATCATATCATGACCTTCCTGTATCATTGCAGCCCTAGTCATTGACATAAACTGAGTGTTTAAAGCTACAAGGGGTCCCTCAATTAAAATTGTATGGTACAACTTCAAGGACATTCTCAATAACTCCTTTAACCCCTGCCTTCAGCTACTTGTCACCTAGCAAATAATTACTGATTCCTCATCAGATCCTAACTCAAACTGTCATCCTTCCACTAATATTAACCTAAATTACCAGAACGTTAGGTAATCCATACCACAAGTTAAACTACTGCCCATACATTTTCATTCCACAACATAATCACTCATGCCTCTGATAAAAATACAGCAACTAAAAAACTGTCCGACATCAGTGCCTCTATTCATATGAAAACCTAACATACTTTATTACAATCCTCAATAATACCTAAAATATTAGCCAATCATAATCTTCATCATATTATCCTATGGCACAGCAACCAATCAGTGATGAGCATCTTCAATGAAGCAACCCTTTTCTTGTCGCTTTCAGGTGTAATTTTCAAAGACAGTGAGCTGCCCTCAAGTTCAACACACTGCCACACCGAGACACTCCAAGTTTCAACACAGTTGCTGCTAACATGTGACGACTTCTGGACCCTTGGGTAATCAGTGTTCTCGGAGAGTCTTGCACAAATTTCACTGGCCTTGATGGACACAGCACTTGTGTACTTCCCACCAAAAGAGATGCACACTTCCTGAATCTAATGGCAAGGAAAGGTCAAACACTCAGCATGGAGGCTATGCGTATTTGCTGAACAGTTATCAGTAAGAAAAGCTGAAACGTCAAGGATGTACGGTGGCAGTGTTTGAAATATAAAAAATTGTCTGCTTGCCTTCAGGACATGCATACTTTAGAAGCTGCAGGCCTTGACCAAACTCTTCAGGCCCTCATTTGACACGAAAATTTACTGCAGGGGATGACCCATACAAATTTGAAATTATGGGTCTGACACAAGATCTGGTGCTTATTTCAAAGACAGTGTGGTGGGTCACCTCCATTGATGTTTTTCAGGAATAGTATGTGAATAACTGTGAACAATGGAGTGAGTGAGTGACGGAACCAAGGAGTGAGTGAGGGCGGTAGGACACAATGGAGTGAGTGAGGGAAAAAAGAAGAAGGAGGGCAGGAACACAGTGAACGTGTCAACAGTATATTTTGTTATCAAAGCTGGACCTAGCCATACAGCACATATCAGGGTACCCGAAGTCTTAACTGACCACACCATCAGGTACCCGACTCAGCACCCGAAGTCATAGAGGGCTGCACCATCTTGTTATCCAACACTGTACCCAAATCATTAAGCACTACACTATCAGGATTCCCAATTCAGTACCCAAAGTCAATGAGCACTTTATCATAAGGGTAGCCAACTCAGTACCAAGAGCCACAAAGCACTACATCTTGTGCGTACTCAGATCACCATGGCACTGAGACCCTCGATCCACATCAGGGTACAAGTCATAGGGCACAACACTATCAGGGAAAGATCAGACCACCATGTCCCTAATGACAGTTGGTCTTCCAATAGTGATGGCCAATGAAAATACCAAGCCACTCTGTATTGACCATATAATTCCCACTATGGTCACCTCTTAGAGCAAGCATGGCCAGAGCATTGACCATCGATTCGGCATAGAGGCCCACAATTTATTTGCTAACATGTATCCCAATCTAGCACAAGATACCTTAGCAACCATCAGTGCAGAATCACAATTCACGTCACCAGCACAAATGCAGCTATGTAAAACAGAAACTAACTTCATTACCATAGCGACTAGAACCACGGACCTCAAGCGTAGTTAACACGATTTCCCATCTTGGAAGAACCAAAACTGCCCCTGTTCCTAGTGAGACATGAAATATAGTAAATATTTGGATTGTCAGCCCTGACATAATTCAATTCCTCATTGTCGCTCTGTTCAGCCGATCACAGGTCATTACCATCCTGCCCTTTATTAGTGTATTAGTGTCTGCAGAATGTTATAAAGAGACAAGCGGTTGTCACTATAGATCAATGGCAACACAATGACATTGTGCTGAATACCATCACGATGGAGGCCGTTTTCTACACGATTACATACACACTCAAGTCAATAACATTACGAAGTCAACCAATATTCATCCATCTATTAATGGCAGACCTATCAATTACATCCAAAATGAAATTCGGGACTGGCTCAATTGGTAAGCCTCTTCCACATTCCGCACCATGGCAGCTGCCCCAGAGACTCTCGCCTTCCAATATTCATAGAACAGGCTACGATGGTGACAAAAATACAAGTTGGGTATTAACAGATCTATTAGATGGATGACCTGGTATCTGAGCCCAGAGGAACCGCTGGACAGCATTATTAATCAGCTGCAGACCTCCTCTCTGTAACTCTCTGGGGCTGGGAGTTGAGGGATGGCAGCAAGTCTGACTTCATGGTAGTCATGTGGACCAGATGGGGCAAAAAGGTTTGGTGTGGGTGGTGACACCTTTCAAGTGATGGGGCTGGGGATTGGAAGTGACATTCCATTTTCTGTCAAATTCCAGGTCAGTTGGTGCCGAGGGATTCAGTTTGGGGGAGGACTTTGGTTGATGGGGCATTAAGGTTTTGTGAGGAGATCTTAGTTGGACTGATTGGACTGTGACATGATGAATCTTAGTTTGTGAGGTTGAATATTTGAAATGATGGATCTAGGTTGGATGGTTGGATATTTGAAATGATGAATACTGGTTGGGTCGTTGGATATTTGAAATGATGGATCTAGGTTGGGTGGTTGAATATTTGAAATGATGAATACTCGTTGGGTAGTTGGATATTTGAAATGATTGATACTTGTTGGGTGGTTGGATATTTGAAATGATGGATCTAGGTTGGGTGGTTGGAAATTTGAAATGATGGATCAAGGTTGAGTGGTTGGATATTTGAGGTTATTAGCTGAATTTGTTGATTAGTCGGAGGGTTAACCCTTGAGATTGGTTAGGGTTACCTTTGACATGTGTGATGTTAAAGCAGCAATGATCTTTGACATGTGTGATGTTAAAGCAGCAATGATCTTTGACATGTGTGATGTTAAAGCAGCAATGATCTTTGACATGTGTGATGTTAAAGCAGCAATGATCTTTGACATGAGTGATGTGAAAGCAGCAATGATCTTTGACATGTGTGATGTTAAAGCAGCAATGATCTTTGACATGTGTGATGTTAAAGCAGCAATGATCTTTGACATGTGTGATGTTAAAGCAGCAATGATCTTTGACATGAGTGATGTGAAAGCAGCAATGATCTTTGACATGTGTGATGTTAAAGCAGCAATGATCCTTGACATGTTTGTTGGTTATAAAATCGATTGCATGGTGCGTCTTTCTTTGTCAATGTG